CGTGACACTAGTCACGTGACCTCGCTGACGCAACAATACCTTAATATTTATTTTTGTATTATTAATTTATTGTGTGTAACAAGTATCTGCAGAATGCTCAAATCCTTCCTAATGTGATGAGATTATCATAGTTCTCTTGTAGCAGTAAATATAGAACATCTATAGATATCGTTGACGGATCACTTTTAATTGGTCGTAGGATGATTAAGAGAAAAATGCAATACTCTGGTTGATTTTGTGTGCGTGTGTGAGAGAATTAATCCAAGAGTATGACCACACTTCCAATTTACTTATTTCAAGGTACAAGTGTTAAGCAATAAACTATCTACATTGTTGAAATGTTAAAAACCAAAATGAAGCCAAGAACTTTTTTCAATTGTTTTCAATCTGCAGAAATTCTTAGCTCTCAGTAAAACCTAAACGTTGTAACAAACTTCAGGCTTAAGGAAATAGTTACTTAAGAATAAAATATATTTTCTGAGACAGTTGAAAAAGAATTCACAAAGCGGTTTTAGGAAAGCAATACTAAGGTTTTAAGTAAAAAGAATTATGTGTAGAATTTGAATAATGTGAAATAAGCTACAACTTAAGGAGTTTAAAAACTGAGGCACATGCTCAAATCAAACCTGAGAAGTTTATTAGATCTGTTATATTCCATAAATCAAAACATATGACAAACATACTAAAAAAAAGCATGACTATCATTGGTAGTCTGCAATGCATTCAAATGAATTTTGCTTAAAAAACAATAAAAGATGTGTAACATAAAGGATGGCCTACCTGTAACAAACATGGCAGTGAAAGTGGTCATTATAACTAATACTGACTTTAAAAAAAAATTCACAGACAACTCCAGTTGTTCTAGTAACATGACGACTTTGAAAATACCAATCAAAACAAGAACAATTAGCAAAGAATTGTGTTAAAATGTTTAATACTGCAATATTAAAGCCTTAGACTAGACAAGCGAACAAGATACTGATAAAAAAATATGGTTTCTCATGACATCAAGAATAAGTGTCAAAAAGACACTGAACAATACTTTTATATAACCATGCTGCTATATTTAATACTTTACAATTGTTAACAATTTCAAGATGTAATGAAATCTTCTGTATTGTAGAAAAGGGTAGAAATACTAACTTTAACAACTAAAATTATTACCAAATTGTGGTTGGCACTTCAGTACCTGTACACAGCCTAGCCAGCAGACAGTATAATGGTTTGAAAGCAATATATTGTATAAAATGAGTGGTCTCATGATAACATTAGTATTACTAGAAAACTAAATTATAAAAGTACAGTAACTGTTATTGCTGAAACCAGACTAGCCTAATGCAAGAACTCTATGTTGCCACAGATAAGGCAGGTTTAGCCAGGAAACAATGTCAGATGTTTCACTTCTCCAAAAAGTTGGGGAGTTCATCCCTGGAACTACTGCTGTTATGACTCCTAGAATTAGAGACTTGTTTAGTTTAAATAAAAACAGAGTATAATGTTATTCTTACTTATCTTAAGGTAACAATACAGAATATTAAAATATAAGAGAACTACTACTCTTAATAATGAGCAAATGTGGTTAAAAAGCCCTTGAATAAACGTGACTGAAAGATGCCTAAAGGATTCGTTTAGTGATTATTGCATAACATGTATTTAGTTAGAAGTTTTACAAAAACAGTTCTAAATAATGTAACTAAAAAAAATACTGAAAATTACAATAAAAGCAAAATATTTATGCAAGATATGCAAGTTAAACTTTAATTTTACCACCACAAGAAAGAGTCGCCTCGTGTTGAAAATAATGAAGAATATCAATATAATATATAAAGCAGCACTTGTGTCAGTCATACACTTAAGTTTCAATCTAGCACTTGTGTCAGTCATACACTTAAAATTCAATCTAGTGCTTGTGTCAGTCATACACTTAAGTTTCAATCTAGCGTTTGTGTCAATCATACACTTAAGTTTCAATCTAGCGTTTGTGTCAGTCATACACTTAAGTTTCAATCTAGCGTTTGTGCCAATCATACACTTAAAATTCAATCTAGCACTTGTGTCAGTCATACACTTAAAATTCAATCTAGTGCTTGTGTCAGTTATATACTTAAAATTCAATCTAGCATTTGTGTGTCAGTTATATACTAAAAATTAATCTAGCATTTGTGTGTCAGTCATCAAGTAAACATCTCTCACAATTACAATTTATACATGTTCTATAATTAACTTTTGTTTTTTTTCACTAAAGAGGGCAATGACTTCATAGGCTAACACAATAACAATTTAATTACAAGCTTGATTTAATCAAGAAACAATGAGAGGTTTTTATTACCAAGTTTGAATGAAATCCTGACAAGAAGTCTAAAATCGAACATATTCGTTACCTAGATTAGAGTATACGAAACAGAAACTACAGTCCATTATGTACACACTTGAAACTTCAGGAATGAAGGAGGAGGAATTTACTTAAAAAGAGAGATTAACTCCTATCATGTTTATCATGTTTGTGTCAGGGTTCGATGTATTGAGTTTTGTGAACTTGTACTGAAAAATGACTGAGACATTTACAGCTATATTAGTTGAGGATTTAGAGGGAAAAAAAGAGAAAAGCTAAAAAATACAAGAGGATGAAAGAGATTTCAAACTGCATTTAGAAACGAAAGAAAATACAGCTTATTATTCCACAATTCACACTTTACCCAACACCCAAAAATGCACACACACACAAGAAACAGAGATGTCACTAGGTGCTTAAAAGATTTTGGGTTTGGGTCCATAGGCATAGAAATTTTTGGTGTTTCAGTCTATTGTCGATCATGATTTTCTATTCTCATTTTTCAAGACACCATCTGGGGATTCAGTGCAGTATAAAATAGAATTGGGGCCTAGTGATGCCTCTGCCAAGAAGAAAAATAGCTTAACATTACAGATTAAACTACAATTTGTTTAAACCAGCATTTTACTAACTATCTTTCATGTATCATACAGTAAAAACTCTTTATTAATCACAATGAACCAAGTCTTTTGAAAAAATCACTTGCTACTAAACAGTCTGGATGCTAACATAGAAATTATCACAGAGTATTTAGGTTCAGGAATGTTAAAATGATTAAATGAGCTGATACAAAATAGAAGTTATTGTTTGTGAAATACATAATTGAAGGCTTAACAATTATTTATATTTCTTATGTATTAAAACTTGCAACTCACTTGTCACACGGCAGGACATTCACACCAGATTTGGCACTGTTATAGAGATTGAGTATTCCAGAATCTTGTATCTGTACATCCCACAAACATCCTCTTAACCCAGCAGAGTATCTTTCTGCAGTCATCAGTTTGAAATCTGGAACACCACCTAGTCAGGAGAAAATTTTTTTTGTCTCAACTACTTTTTTTATTTGTGAAAAAAAACATTAAATTTTTGTAATTGATAAAACCTTATTTCATGTGATATAACATTTCTACATCAAACAGAAACCTAGTTCAAGAATATAGATATACAATGATTAAAAGACCAATAAATAGAAATAAAAATAAAGTTTATTTGCTACTAATTCAAATCATTATTAACATGTTTACAGTTTTGGAAGTATCACATTTTATCCTAAAGTGCTGAATGTTGGTACCCATTGTACATACTTGCATTTATCCAGATAGAACAGTTTGATTACTGTCTGCCCATTACAATTTTAGTGATGGGGGTACAAGGGAGCTGTGAAACCTTATAAGTGTAGTGAGTGTTAGTATAATAAGCTTAAAGTAACTCGGTAGTGTGGGATCAAGAAACTAAAAATATTATTCAATCTTAAACTTAAATAGTTTTTTGAATTAAGCTATTTTCTGTAATATCAGCAACGTTTTTCATGAACACAATACAGAATAGCTAACATTGTTTGTAACTGTTTTACATGTAGCATTACAGAGTGACAAAGCTTCTTTACACCAAAAGTTCCCAGTTGTTCTAAACAAACTGCATATCCCAGGGATTATTCAAATAAGGTCCTTTATTTGTTTTGTGAGGAAAAAATTACTTTTCATAGTAAAATCTGGTTATTTTTACTGACTATGATTTTTTCAAACAACCGAATATAAGAAGCATACTCCAACAGTTACAAGTATAACAAATTTTAAGATCATGAAAGTTCAAGTCTTTCCATCAGTTCTTCCTGCTTCATTCACAAAAAAAAACAGAATTTGCATATTTTGAAATTTAAATTGAGAATTTAAAAACACTCGTATTTCTTTAAAATACAAATTCATGTTTAGGATTTAAAAAAAAAACATCACATATACACCAGATATTATTTTCTGTATCAAAACACCTAAAATTTGCAGTAAACAGATGGTATGTTTGTATAAGCTAATCAAAGATCAGTTGTACACAACATAATTTCAAAAATATATTTAAATAGCATATTATTTACAGAATTATAACAAAATAATATGATTCTAAAAAACAAAGTGAATAAACTTACCAACATAAATGTCTCCATCTGAATTCAGCATTTGTAAGACTCCTTGCGAGCTGCCAAAATATTTTTGACCCCCATCTATTTGTATGCTTCCATTTTTCGCCATTCTAAAATTTTTATAAAAACTTTGTTTAACTAAATACTTGGAATTGATGTTACTCTTTGTCATCTTTCATATTCAAAGCTTTGAAATGTCACATGCTAATATTTCAACAGGTCAGTAAAGTCAGTCCCGAGGTTTACAGCTTTTAGATGTCACATACTATTATTTCAACAGGTCAGTCCTGAGGTTTAAAGCTTTTAGATGTCACATGTTATTATTTCAACAGGTCAGTAAGTTCAGTCCTGAGGTTTAAAGCTTTTAGATGTCACATGTTATTATTTCAACAGGTCAGTAAAGTCAGCCATATTTAATAACATTAAAAACTGCCATAACACTAATTAATTTTTGAAAGTTTTATACATTTTCTTAAACGTATTGTTATTAACACACTTGAATAAGTTAGAAAGACTTTTGGAACAATAGTTGTAAAAGAACTCATGTATGAAGAAGTACTACAACACTTACAAGTTCTGTTATATCAATAATTGTGAGTTTATTTCAGATATTCACAAACTATTTGCATTAACCATCCCCAGTTTTGGACTAATAGACTAAAGGGAAGGCAGCAAGTCAACAGCTCCCACTGTCAACTCATGGCTACTTTATTTTTGAACAGTGGGATACAGCCATCATGCTTACAATACACTTATGGTCTTAAAGTACAGAGAAAGCATTTTTTATTTTGTAATGGGATCCAAACTATAGGCCTTTTGGATCCACAAAAAAATTCAGCACTAAGATAATCTATCACCACATCATTTTCTCTTATCTGAATAAAACTGCCTGAAAGTAACTTGTGACAGTTTCTTTGACTTGCTCAGGTACTTCAACATCCTGCTACTAGCTGGAGGCCCCAAAATAATTCACCTACATTTCACATTACAGTACCACTCTTTTACCTTACATATTTTCAGCAGAAGTGACATCTACCTTTAAATATAGATTTATATTGTTAATGTTATTTAATTTTCAATGGTATCTAAACTTACACCTGAAAATATACCAAAATATTTTGTAATACTGATGTTGAATGAAATTCAACAAAACTAAAGTTAGGCCATTTTTTTTTTATTGAATATTAAATTCAAGGTATAATCAAGATTGAAAACCAAGTTTTAAAGTGTTTTTCATTTTTAATTAACTTTTCACCAATAGAATTAAATTCTTAATATCATTAGTAGAAGGTAACTTTGCATGAAAAAATAATAATTCAATTTGGAACCTCATTACATTTAAAATGTTCAATATTTTCTGCTCTACTACAGTCAAGTAAACAATTTCAACAGTAACAAGTCATTATTAATTTTGGTACTGCATGAGAGTAAACAGCTACCAGCAACTTTTTTTAAAGAAAGCCTTCTCCTGTAGAAGGCTATGAATCCTTCAGCAGTACTCAAAGTATGGATTGCAACGTCTGATCTAGTACAAAATATTATCAAAGCACCAAACACTTTCATTTCCCATGATGAGTACAAGTAATTGATAAAATCATTTAAAGAAAAGGGCCATAATAGCTTAATTTCTTCAGAATTTGGTCAAGAGGGAAAAAATGACAGGCTTAGGTCAATATGTAAGGACAAACAGGTTGGCTGGTTGGATTTGTGGGATCAGTTCAGTGGGAAAAGGAAGCTTTTTGGAATGGATGATTTACATTTAAATAGAGTAGAGCTTGGCTTATTTGCAAGGGCTATTAACTTGACTCTAAAAGCAGCTTTAAACTGGAACTAGACAGTGGTGAGGGTCAGAATAAACTAACAGAAGTAGTTTCAGGGGTATGCTAAACTGTTGTTATTGTAATTTTAAAAGAATAAGAAATGAAAAAGAATTAAAAACACTAAGTGGGTACAGGGGATTTTGAAGTCATAGGAATAGCTGAAACATAATTAAATGTAAGCACTTTTAATTACATGAATTTCTTTGAAATATAAGGTTATTCAATAGAGATAAAGTATTAAAAAGAGGGGTAGGAGTGGTTCTATATTCAAAATGTATTTGATGTCATCAGGACAAACAACCTAAACACACACAAAAAATATATTTCTAAATTTATGTATATAAGGCAAATGGACATGAAAACTTTACTCATAAAAACAGGAGAAAGACATTTTTCAGTCAAATATGCCAGACAAATGAACATGAAAACTTTACTCGTAAAAACAGGAGAAAGACATTTTTCAGTCAAATATACCAGACAAATGAACATGAAAATCTGATTTTCAAATAACTATCTTGCCAGATGAACTTCAGCAAAATATGCCAGTAAGAAAAGTAACCTTAACCATTCAATTATTTGGTAAAATATGCAAAAATAACCTTAACCATTCAATTATTTGGTAAAATAAGCAAGAATAACCTTAACCATTCAATTATTAGGTAAAATAAGCAAGAATAACCTTAACCAGTCAATTATTTGGTAAAATATGCAAGAATAACCTTAACCAGTCAATTATTTGGTAAAATATGCAAGAATAACCTTAACCAGTCAATTATTTGGTAAAATATGCAAGAATAACCTTAACCAGTCAATTATTTGGTAAAATAAGCAAGAATAACCTTAACCATTCAATTATTTGGTAAAATAAGCAACAATAACCTTAACCAGTCAATTATTTGGTAAAATATGCAAGAATAACCTTAACCAGTCAATTATTTGGTAAAATAAGCAACAATAACCTTAACCAGTCAATTATTTGGTAAAATAAGCAACAATAACCTTAACCAGACAATTATTTAGTAAAATATGCAAGAATAACCTTAACCAGTCAATTATTTGGTAAAATAAGCAACAATAACCTTAACCAGTCAATTATTTAGTAAAATATGCCAGTAAATAAGCAACATTATCATAGCTGTTTGGTAAACTGTACCAGTAAATAAGCAACACTATCCTTAACAAGTCAGTTGTTTGGTAAAACATATATAAACATTATCTTTATCTCAAAGGAAATGAGAAAAATTGTCCCAGTAAATAGAGACCTATTAATGGTTATAAAAAGTTTTGAAAGTTTGATAAAAGGTGCATTGCAGAGTCATTTATCAAAGTTTAAAATTTTTTCGAATAATCAACATGGTTTCACTTGGGGAAAATCTTGCCTTACTAATCTTTTGACATTCTTTGAAAAGGCTACAACTTATATAGATGAGGGTAAGGGTGTAGATTTAGTGTATCTGGAATTTGAGAGAGTATTTGACAAGGTGTCAATATAAAAAGGCACTGTAAAGAAGTTATCTCTATAGGTATGGGGGATAAGTTTTTTCATTAGGTAAAAACCTTGTTGGATGGAAGAAAGCAGAGGTTTATTGTTAATGGAGTTCAGTCAAACTGAATTAATGTCAGGAGTGCGGTACCTCAGGTCTCAATGTTAGGGCCTTTGCTCTTTTGATTTCCATCAAATATGCATGAAGAAATGGTCAATAAATTATTTATATCTGCTGATGACATTAAAGTCTTCAATGTTGTTGACTGTAAGGAGGATGCAGCTGTTTTACAAATGGATTATCCACAGACACTGCCACTATTAAGCTGGTCAGAAATATCTGCTGATGACATTAAAGTCTTCAATGTTGCTGACTATAAGGAGGATGCAGCTGTTTTACAAATGAATTATCCACAGACACTGCCACTATTAAGCTGGTCAGAAAGATACTTGATAAGCTAATTTTGTTTAAATACCAGTAGGAATTTATTTGTAATTTCAAGTAATTAAATCGACTCAGATACTAATCTACACACAAGGTTATTTATATAGGCCTTACACTAAACTATTATATGCTTGCAGTGTTATTGTAAAATGTGTCATGTGTTGTTTTTAAATGATTACTTCAGAGAACTCGTTTGTAATTGATATAGATGTTTTCATTCATCAGTACAACACGCAAGGTTATTTATATAGGCCTTACACTAAACTATTATATGCTTGCAGTGTTATTGTAAAATGTGTCATGTATTGTTTTAAATGATTACTTCAGAGAACTCGTTTGTAATTGATATAGATGTTTTCATTCATCAGTACAACACACAAGGTTATTTATAT